AGTGAATCACTAGTGCTCTTTGGTGAGCCAGTCACTCACCTAGGATGGAGCTCAAGTCAAGGAAGACCAAACGGGGCAGCGTGATGAACTTCACAGAAGTAATTCCCCTGGTAAATCATTGCTCTGTGACACCTAAGCAATGTTCTTGTTTACTACTACTACTCCTCTGTTCACTCATGAAACTTCAAGTCTTTCCAGCTGTTTTCTCAGGATGAGGGCCGCACATGGACAGCACTACCGGGGCTGCTAAGCTTGACCACCGGGAAGAGTCATAGTGGGCACAGCCTTCCTGGGCAGAGCTTTGCATAAGCCTGTCTGTACCTGCCTGTAATGGGACTGACTGACTGCAGTTGGCATTCTTGCAGACTGGCACTGAGGCCACTTCAGATCAAATTTCACTGTTGACTTAAAGAGCCCTTTGCTGGGAACTAGTGTCCCACAGTACTCTGCTGAACTAATTCCCAATTTGGTCCTTTGCCAACTGCTGTTGTCAGAAATCCCGAGTAACCAAGGATTTATATTTTTTCCGTCTGCAAGTCTCACATCAGATCTTTCTTCCTCGCCAACTGTTTTGAGCACATTGACTAATTTCAAGAAAGTGTGAAAGAAGGATGCAAACCTCAGCAACAGCTGGTTTCTAAATATTTTGCAATGGGCAGTTAAGCAGGAGCCCCAACTCATCTGTCCATGGTAAAAGAGGCAGGAGAGGGTATATGTGTATATCCAGCATGGATGTGAATACAGACTTACCCACACCAAATGCTGGCTCTGGGGTTGTTTTTTTCAGGCCCAGTGCTGGCTCCTGGCCAGCATTAGGAGACATCCAGAGAGCTACTATATTGTGCAGCTGTTCTGGTGGGGCTGGAGCTATTGATGTGCATGGAAAGAAAGGACACAGAGAAGTTGGCAACTCGGCTTCATTAGTGTGACTATTGATGGAACATGTTATTTCATTGCTCAAAAGAAAACTTTAATATTACTGGAAAGAATGAAATTCACAAGGGAAACCACACACACAAAAAAAAAAAAAAAGGACATGAAGGGAGATGGTTTACATGCTGGTGATTCACTCCGAGACAAAAGAAAATGAAAGAATATTCCCAACCATTTGGATCCCCAAACACTAAACATATAAACTTATTGCTGCGATAGCTCCTCTAGACATGAGTCATACATTTTAAAACCTTATGGGGTCAATCAATTTAACTTCATAAATGAATTACACCACCAAAACCTGACCAAAACCAGACCATTGCATCCAAACTGGCTCATTTCAGCTTTCAGAGATGTCGATAAAACTGTGTGTGAGCTGAAATGCTTACCAGCAAAAGCTGAGAGCAGTAAATCAAATTTAATAGTCTGGGTTTTTTGACTGTACAGGAATGATGCCTGAAAAAAAACAACCCAAGCCTGAACTAATGAAATTCCGAAAGGATACACAAAGATTGTTTCATTTCAACATACCTAATGATCTGGGTTTCTCTTTGGTTGTTTTTATGTGCATAATCCACAGAATTTCTAAACTAAGACCACCACTTAACATATAAAATATTTAGAAGGGCTTCCCTGACAAAAAAGATCTATTGCCTCCCTCAATAGCTGGTTCCCATAGTTAATTACTCTAATTTATGTTTAATTTAAATTTGTGTCCCTTCATTTTCCAGAAGCTTGATATTTTTTATGCTATTATCTGCTACATTAAAGTGCACTCCTCTTTCATTTATCTTTCCTCCATGTGGTCAAGTTGCCTTTTAAACTTTTCTTTGCAACAAACTGACATTCTTCCACCACCCCACTTCCCCTACAGATGACTGTGACCTCTCACTGTGCTATAGTGGGGCTTGGGTTTAATTAATTTACATGTTCTGGGATGGCATGAAGAAAAATAGTGTTTCCAACCTCATCTTTATTTTCTGCTCTTTAATTTCTCCTACAGCAAATATATTGCCAGTATATGATGCCAAATTGATAAGATGAAAACAGAAATCAGAATTCTCACTATTGAACTAACCCCACACTGCCCTTCTCTCCTACAGAGTCCTATAAGATCACCAGCCTGAGCAGAGGTGGTCTCCCCTGATATATAGATTAGGAAATAAATGTTGTATCCTCGGCATCGTGGAATAAATGCAGTCAGCAAATGCCAGCTTCTATGGCAAAGCCACAAGCCAGCAGAGACCTGATCTTGCTCTTGCTCTGCATCAGGACCAAATAACTTATCTCCAGGCATGAAATACAGTATCCAATGATCAATACCCTGAGTCATCTTGTTCTCCAGTCAAAAATAAACCTTCTCTAGGTCCAAGAGTAGCTCTCCATCCTCCAAATGAAACTGAAAAGTTGGAGAAGAAGCAAACCCATCAACTTTAATTTCATTTTATAGTCAGCTGCAGTGCTGAAGTCCACTGAACACTGTATAATGTTGCTTTGGTTAATCTCATAAAGGTGTGCCCCAGAAATACAATGACTTCTGCTATTTAGGATAGGTTTTGTACAACTATGCCTTTTGCAGTATTTGTGTCTCATTTCTTTCAAGGATACGGAACGTCACATTTTCTATTACATCTAGAAAAAGATTACTATAAATTCTTCTGCTGTGATATAAAGCTCAAAGTACAAAAGACATCTCACAAAATTACTCTTGTTTGCATTCTGAAGATGGAGCTTGTCATTAGAAAGATGAACACTTTACACTCTTCTTACATTTTCTAGTATTATAATGACAGATATTATGGCAAGTACCATAATCTGTTCCACTGCAGTGCAAACAGTGCACATCACCTCCCTAACAGCATTGCAAAAGCTAGAGATGGGAGTTCATTATTTTCTTTGCCTTCTGCCAGGATATTGCTGATCCATATAATTACTGCAGTTGGAGATGCATGCAGTGTTGGGACAGCATCTTTTCTCTGGGCAGTTGCACTGTACTGATATTGTACTGATACTGGGACTGTACTGCTCCCAGCATTGTTATACTGGAAATATAGGTACAAAAAGCTCTAAGTTATATTTTAATACCTGTTAAAAATTGCAGGCAACCTCCAATTTTGCAGTTTGTAACTTAGAGATAGCATCTTGCTGCCCAAGCTAATGTGGATAAAGCCATACATTCAGCAGGGTCCTACCCTTTCCTTAAGAAAGGTAAGGTCAGAAAGTCCAGTTCTTTTCACTTATACCTCATTTAAGAACAACAGCCCATTTTCAGGTTCTCTTCCAGTGACTTAGGCCAGAAAAGTCTGTCATGTGGTCACAAATAAAAATAGTGAGGAGTTTTCAAGTTCTACAGATTTCATTTCATGCATCCAAATGTACATTTATCTAAAACATGCGCTGGGAATGTACTGGTTTGGGCTGAACTTGTGATCAGGCAGGGAGGACACACACAGGGTATGCGCAGCAGGAGGCTGGTGTTAAAGTCCCTGCTCTGCCGAATTCAGTGTGAGGACATGATTCTGTCCCTCTGGCGAGAGACATCCTTACTGCCCTGTTTCAGAACCCACTGCAAGCAAGCTGTTTGGTCTGTGCCAAACTGCCAGAATTAGTGATCTCATATGAAAGGAAGCACTGGTCAATAATGTAGTTTTACCAGCAGCTCAATAGCCTGAGGATGTTTTCCTTCTAACATACATAGGAGCCCTTAATCTCTGACTTTATTGGAATCTGTTTGATTTCACCTACCAGTATCACAGTGACATGTTGGGGGAGAGCAGAGCTAGCCATGGATTATGTTCAGTACCCACAACAAATGTAATCAGGCTGAATTAGCAGGGATTGAGTCTCGGGCTCCTGGAAATAAATTGTGGTATTACATTTGTCATCTGTGAGCCTTTAACAGCCACAAAACCCTCACAGCACAGGCCTATGGTCAACTTCAAGCAAATTATACAAGGCATTTCATACTGTGATTAAGGTGAACTGGACCCTGCAGACAGATCTGTGTGTGTGTTCACCACAATTTACCTTCAAAGACTGTCTATGAATCCTATAAAAGGAGGTGTTGGTTGGCTTTTGGGTTCGTTGTAATTTTTTTTCACCTGTTAGGTAAGAGGGGGATTTGAAGAAAGGATTTGAAGCAAAATGGAATATAAGTATACTTAAAGACATATGAATACAACAGTATAAACAGAAAGAAGTATTTTAAAATCATCTTCAGTTAGAGGGGTTCCAGGAATTACATCATGTTCTCAGAATCCATCATTCGCTCTCTGACACTGACACCAGCAGAACCACTACATGGTACAAATTTATGGCCAAACACATCCTACATTTAGTCTAATACACACATACACATACACACACACACACACACACACAAGTAAATCTGATCCTGAGCTAATGCAAAGCTTTTCCCTCGATACCTTTGAAACATGACTTGCAGCATTTAAATGAAGTACTTCAGCTAACAGAGCTTAAAAACAGAGCAAAAATACCAAGAGGAAGAGGCCAGTTCTTCAGAGATCAATTAACTGCCTTAAACTGGGCTAGAGGAAACCCTTCTCCTGTTGAGATGGTCAGTGCCAAGCTTTGTGCACAGATGGGATCATGAGGCACAAGGTTTCCTCTCTGCCCATCTCTTGCACGCAAACCTGTAGAAAGGAGTCTTTTGGGAATCGGTCAGGCCAGACAGCTAACACATGGAAAAGGGCATCAGACCTCATTTTTCCTGGCTATACCCTGTATTAGCTCTGCTCAAAGCACCTTCACCTTCCTGGCTTCTCCTAGGTCCTATACTTTAATCAAGGTCTCTGAGACTTAAATCATTATCTGAAAAGAGCTTTGAGACCATCATGTGAAGGATGCTACAAAAGTGCAAAGGGGTTAAGTCTTGTAACTCTTACCCATATGCTATGTATGTGCCTTTGTGTATTTTTATAAAACCAAAATTTCCACCTGATCGTAGAGCAGGGAGGGAGTCATTTATTCCATCTCCTCCTCATCCATGATGTATTCCCCCCTTGCTTCCTTGTGCATGAGGTTTGGAAAAAGGGGGTCCAACATACCCAGCAATCGAATTTGCATGATTGCGCCGTGTAAAACGAAGAACATCCAGAGGGGCTGGGAACAGTCTGCGCAGACCTGCATGCCAATGCCGGCACCGTTGTGACTCAAGTGCAGCTCACCATCTGCATTCACCGTAAATCCCAGGATGTCTCCGCTCTGGAGAGGCACCACCACTCGGCAGATGGCCCAGAACTCCTTTCGGTCAACCAGAGACTCGGGGTTATAGGGGAGGTCACTGGGGCGCAAGGTGCTGGGGTCACAGGAGGTCACCCCGTAGGAGAGCGTCCCTGTGCGCACAGCGTTGGACTTGTTGATTTTGACGAAAATGGTTTCGTTGATCCGAAGGGGCCTGCTGGTGAAAACCAAAGTCCTCTCCTCCCGGGCGTGCTCCAGACGGGCCACAGTTTGGTCATCGAGGATTTTGACATGGGGGCCCCGGAGGTGGTGGAAGCGGAGGTCACTTTCCAGCTGGGAGGGGAGGAGGTGGGAGTGCTGGGAGTTGAGTGAGTTCTGTGGGATAGGACACGTGGTGGCCGTCACGTGGAAGGTCTCCTCCTGCAGGTTGAGGTCACACAGGCTGACCGAGAGACGCGTGTCCTCCGTGTCCCGCCGCAGCGAGGGCCGGCGGATGGCAGTGAAGGAGCGGGGCCGCAGGCAGTCAGGAGGGATGATTTCACTGTCTGTGGGGAGAAAGAAGACAAGAAAGGGGTCACCTTCTGAGAAAATGAAAATGTTCAGGAGTTTGCGAATCACTATGGGTTTGATTCATATGTTTAAAGGGGAAAATCAGAGACCTGCTGCCATTAATAGGTTTTCCCCTTTGAAATATAGAAGCAGAGTATCACAAAACGTATTTGCAATCAATTGCTCTTCTTGTACTTTCCCCACCAGCATCAAGAGTTTCAGCTTCTGTGCAGGCAGACTGAAAATCGATGACAAGAACTGCCCAGGGGAAGCTCTCCTTGGAGAGGGGAAGCAGAGGATAAATATCCAAAATACACCCTGAACATACCAATCAATATCTATACAGGCTCCAAGTTTTCATGCCCACTTTACTGTCTACAGTAATTCTCACAGACCTTTGAAATAAATATCTAACTACACACTGTTTTATTTAAAAGAAATTGCTATGTTCAGTTCTAAATTATTTATCTCCATATGAAATTTAATTAATTTTTTCTAAATATAACTAATCATCAGTGTTCTGGTGCTCACTGCAAAGCAGTACAGACATTAACTTTACAGTGCAGAATTTGGGAATATGCAGTTTTCTATAAATAAAATACAATAATTTATTATCTCCAAGCCAAATAATTAAAAATCAAATCCACATATATATTACAAAGAAAGATAAAAAGATGATGCTCAGACATTCAAATCCACCAATAGAAACAAAATTGTACCTTATCATCTGTCACTCTCACCTGCTGCTTCAAGAACTAACCAATTTATTTGATTCTTTTTCCAAGAGAAACATAATCACCTGTCTTTAATGCTGAAATTATTTATATTTAATACATCCTTAGCTATACTGTTACCATAGAAATTTTAAAGAACAATATACTAAGAAAAACATTATTAAAAAAATTATAAAGTAAGCTGAGATAATGCAAACATTTATTCTTATGTCCAACTTTCTGAACTCTGAGAAGGCTGTAGCATGACGAGACTATTCATTGTGCAAAAATTGAGCATGTGGGTAACTCTGCAAATGTTGTAAGAAGTTGTGACCCATACAGACTGTGCCTCTGTGGGAGCCATGCCTGAATGCTGTTGTGGCTCTGAGCCCGGGTCCAAACAGTATCAGACGGGACCACCACATACAACACCATCCCCCCCCAGGTGGCACAAAACAACACACCAGGCCCAAGTGCCACAAACACACTCGGTGGAACAACAAGAGGAGACAGAGTCATTCCTAACCCACATGCCAGGCCCTCGCAGTGGACACCTCTTCCAGCCACATATCCTTGGGATTTTCTTTCACAACAACAAAAGAGCAGGACCTCAGGTTATCTGAGAATTTTCCCAATGGGATGCACTCTCTCCCAGTACACCACAGTAGTAGCTCTGTACTGGTATGCCAAGGAATAATGCCAGCTACTAAGTAACCAACAACTCCTGCAATATCTGAGGTCTGACTAACAGCCTTTCCTGTCCTCCTCTTCTGGGAGCCCTGACAAGAGCACACCCACACACAGTTTGGCTTCAGTAGAGCTCTTTGCTTTGCTTAAACTGGATTATTCCAGGCTCCTCTTTAAATAAGCTGCTATTACAAGGAAAGCACAGTCTCAAAATAAAAATGGGCTTTGTTTCTCATATTTGATTTTCTGCACACCAATATTTCAGCTTCTCTTCCCAGAGGTTAATTAAAGGAGGAATAAATAAAATCAGAAATTACCCCAAGTAATCTAGAAGTGGGTCGCATTAATGCTTCGTAATATATGGGCTAGCATTTGCATTGCAAGTGCTCCTGCTGGATAGCATTAGACTTATTTTACCCTCCTTTGGCTGGAAACCTACATAGGAGAACAAATTAATACTGGCAGCTGACGACGATCCTTTTGTGAAGGTGAATGGGTAGAGACCTTTCTGAATAGGAACAGAAGGTCCTCTCTATTTTATTCCCTGTAACTATGCATGTGCAGCCTGGCTGACAACTGTGATGTGTGGGTAGCTTGCAGCCAGGGTTTTGAAACAGCTTGTTTTCCACCAGGATGCTTGCATTTCCCTTTGGCTGCTGGACAGAATATCTTTTTCCATCTGAAAAGAGGTTAAGAGAGATGGAGTTCTGCAGACAAGACACATGGTAGTGACAGCAAACCAGGGTTACATATCAAATTGTATTACTTAAATCCCTCAGTAGCTTAGATGCATGGCCACCTAAGGAATAAGATGTCTCAAGCATATGGGATTGACTGTGAGAATTCTTAGTTCATTAATGTTTGCAAATACCCATGGAAGAAAGGATTGCAGTTTACTGGCTTCTGAAGTGTGTTTGTGAAAATTTAGAGAGATGAGTCTCTAAGAGATGCTGGCCTGTATCACAAAATATCCAGCCAAAGGAAAAAAAGTCCCATTGACTATAAATCACAACAAAAGTGGGATTCATCTTTTGGGGTGGTAGGTAGGTTGGAAGAGAAGTGGAATGCCATTTACCCAGAATAACTGATAACAGCCAAGGGCTATGAAACAACAATTCTGGTGAAATGTGGAACAAATGAGGTGACTTTGACCACTTTCTTTCAGCAGAAGATGCCCAGGAATGAGTTGTTTTCTTCCTCTAAAGCTTCAGTTGTCACTTTTTAAACCAAGTTATTCAGGCTGAATACAGATGAAGCTGTTCATGCTGGAGCGGCCCATAACACAGCCTTACTACTGCAGAACATTTACAAGTGATCTTTAATGCCTATAGAGGAGAGACTCCTTTGCTCAGGAACATTTATATTTGCAGAGACAAATCTGGAGCACAGATGAAAAAGATGGAATGACTTTATGTGACGAGACTGTAAGACACAAAATGGGTCCAACGGCCCACTACGGAGGATCACCTGGCTTCAGCCCAAAGAATTTAGAAACCATCCATCCCTTCTTATTAAATGTTCAAGGTTATAAAATTTCCTATATAAGACAGTTGGCAGTGTTTCTTCAGGAAAAGTCAACTGATAAGACCTCCTTAGGTGAGAATAGATGGACTTCAAAGTGAAGACCACAGCTGTCACCAAGCCACCAGAGCAAGCATTTAACCGAGTGGTTGGGATACCACCAGCAAGCTGGCCATGACCATGGCAGCTCAATACAGGCTGGCTGCCCAGGTAGCTTTCCAGAAAGGCTTTGCTGAGCTCTGCATCAGTGCAGTTACGATGTTATTTCTGGATTTAGAGACTTCAAGCTTCCGGTAGCAGTACAGACAGAGCCAAAGTGGAAAAGATTTCTACTAAATATAGATTTTCTGCTCCTCAGCTGGAGAATCTGAGACACTGAAATTAAAGGATGCCTGTCTCCACAAATACCTTTGTATCTTTTTCTAGCTTTGTTTAAGAAAGAAAAGGAGGAGTAATTCATTTATCTAAGTAGAAGTAAAGGGCATCTGAGCAGTTCAGCCATCTTCTCTTTTCTTCTCTTTAGTGAGGTTTATCTGCAGAATTTAGATCCTCAGCAGATGATTCCTTACACAGACAATTAACTTGAAGTATCTTTCTCAGACCAGAGGCTTCAAAGCTTTCAATTTTTCTGCTCAGAGGGCACGGAAGAGCTTCCCACTTTGTGCAGGCTCAATGAGACTGCAGTAACACTTCAAAAAAAGCATTTACAAGGAGCTGGTGAGCAGACAGATGCAGTTGTAATCACTGCACTCAGATCAGAAGTATTTCACTACCACCTTTCTTCTGAACCACTGCCAAATGTTGTCTTCTTAAAATAATCTATTTCCTTAAGCATGTTTATATGTAGACATATTTATTACAGAGATCAAATACATGCACATTGAATACAGCTACATGCACATCCAAACACAAAAGCATTTCTAACCACCAGCAGGCACAGATCATCTCAGCCCCACACCAGCCTGAAGGGGATGTGTTGCTGTCAGACTGTCAAATCATCATTTCCTTCCCCTTTTTCTTTTTCAGTACTGTCTGTCACTGCCTAAAGGCCTGATTTTCCAAGGTCATGAGCAGCCAGTATTCATAAACCTGTAAAGGATCCGAGAAAGCAGAGCAAACTCAGCATGGCTGCATGTGCTGGAAACTCAGGCAGTCCAGTGTTTAACTGCAAGCTCTAGGGACACAGATCTCCTCTTGATCAGTTTTCTGAGGGTGGTGCAATCCTACAGCCTCATATGAATTGTAATTCTTCGGAGTATGAGGTCTGCAACCAGTCTCCAGAAGGAGCTATGGAACACCTAGTATAATTAAACCAATCTTAAGAGTTACTACTACAAAAAATAACTTAAAATTTGGGGAATAAGAATGAGAACCTAAGAGCATATCTCATTTCTAATGATCCTCCCTCTGAGGAGAGAGAAACGTGGAGAAGCCAAGGAACAATCTGGAGAACATTTCTGTTCTCATCTACTAAGCAAAGACTAAAAAACTGTTAAGACCAGAACTTTGCTAGTATGCTGCCTCCCTTCCCTTGCAAAGACTCGTGTTTTTCCTTCTTTCTGGTCTTTGCTTTACTTCTTTACAAGGGCAATTTTCTTTTCTTAATCCCTCACTTCACTGGGTAATGGTATTTCCAGTGAGTACTGGTGTGCTCACGGTATAATTTCTGTGACCTGAGAGGTGCTAAGCTACCAATAGACACATTGAAGTCAGTGGTCTCTACAAGAATATTCTATGTAAACATGCAACTGCAAAAAGATGTATACTGCATTATTCCCACCACACTGGAGGGCTCCATTCCCACTCAGGAATGCAGATGAAGGCTGCTTTTCCCACTGTCAGCACTACCTGTCACAAGGGGCTACACAGGGAGGACAGCTGGCCTTCTAACCTGTAATCCTGCACTAGCTCCTCCATGGTCTACAGCAGAATTATGTATCAAACAGTCTATCTGGCAAGACTTTGACGTTGCAGGGGGAGGTGTTTGAAATATGAGGCAGATGTATCATTCTGTAAAATAACATTGCACTCAAAAGGCAATTGGGAAAAGCAATCAGTTGTAAAACAAGAAATAA